TAACCCTGCAACTGTTCAAGGGAGGTTCGCAGAACCTGCGGACCTTCGATGCCCAGCTACTTCGCGCCTGCGAATTCGATTCTGAAAATATTATTTATAATATTCGTATCGGAACCGATACCCCGCGAGTTGATCGCCGATTTAGAAATCTCGGACTCGATTTATTTTCGTTCATTTATTATTTTCGTTCGCGAAATCTCGTTATCGCGAACTTCGCTGTGTAACTTACATTTTATCTTGATATCATAATTTATATTAACGGTATTATCAACAACGATATTAACGGTACGAATAATAACGCGAGCCCGTTCGAAGATTATCGAACGTAATGCACGCGAACGGTGTCCGGAAATCGTTCCCGCCGAAATATAAATAAATGATATTTGATAAGATAATGGAAATGTTTCGCCTCGGTGTACAATTCGGTTTGTTATTATACGAGTAGCTCTCGAATTAAACGCAAATGGAACTTGTCGCTCGATCAACGAACTAGCATTGTTTCTATGAAATTTCTATAAAATAAAGAAAGAGAGATATATTTAACCCCTTAATGCACAATTTAAAAAAAAAAACTGACCAAAAGAAATCAATTTTTTTTATCTAAGAAAATACATATTTAGACCTTAATTTCAATAAATATTTTTAAAAAATGCAAAAATTACTAAAAATTCAATAAAAATAGTGGATAAATAATTATAGTGAATATTGAATCGCATTGCAGATCGAATTTTGTACCCATCGTACTGTTTTTCATATATTCGAATCTGAACATTTTAGCGACATAAGTTGCGACGCCGACCGTATATATACGGGTCTGCACATTTTGGCCGGTTTTGCACGCCCGTGTTAATACGTTTCTGCGCGTTAAGGGGTTAAAGGAATAAAAATATATATAAAAATACATTCTTGGACTAACATCAAACAAGACGGAGGAACGATTATTAAATGGTAAATAATGTCTTCAGAATCGTCGGAAGTATCTGTGTTTCGGGGCTCCCAGGTTCGACGAACGTCGTCCATAGCACCTCGATGGTTGACCCTCAATTGGTAGGGGTGAGTCACAAAGGTGTCCCGCGATTGGCCAGGATCCGTCGACGTTCGCGGAACGCGTCGGTCTTAACCAACCGCGCGACTGTCTTTCTGTTAACCCCGGATTAACCATGCGACGACCAATGGAACAACGGATTAACCAACAATGTGAGAACAATAAATTCGACGTATTGTTCTCGGCAGGTTTCATTAGCTTTCTGTGTGCCTGGTTCGGACACGAGAGAACGCCGCGTTCTACTACGTTCAGCGCAAACAAGGTTTCGGGAAGACAGTGGGAACGTTCGCCATTGATTGTCTCTTTCCTTCGGGGGCTATTGTTTAACCGTCCCACCCCGGCGACCACACCCTGTCAATTGAGGGTTAACGTTAACAATAAATAACCAAGCTGTATAATCGACGAGCCGGCCGAGCTCGTCGCGAGGCTCTGGAACCGGGCATCAAAAGTGATCTCTTTTTCCCTTGATCTCGTTTGAGGAGAATCGAGGAAATAGCGTGTTACAATAACAGGGAACGGAAAGAGTGCTCGATTCAACGGTGGATCAGATTGTACCGTGAACGTCGGCGAAGTTCAAAAAGTTGGCCCGGAATTTATTCGGAGCCGGCCAGAAGCGGCGGCTTGATCCTATTTCGTTCGAGCACTCTCGAAGCACAACAGACGTCATCGTGATTAATTGAATCGCGATCGGTGAATACACAGTCTCTTCCACGGTTCTCGCTGTCCTCTCCTTCGAACGGCCAATTATCTGCGAAATCACGGTGTGCCTGGCAACAAACTCCTGGGATACTTTCGGCAGCTTTTCGCCTTTTCGCGTGATTTTCGCCCGCGCAAGTCGCAACGCCAGACGAATGGAAAGTCTTGGGAACGATAGTGAAGTATACAAATGTCTTCTTCGTCCCTTTTTAATCGAGATCAAATTTAATTTGTCTGTTATTAACGCTTGGATTTAGGTAATAAATCAATAATATTTATATCTTTTTATATTATTATTATTATATTATTTTATACTATCAATAATAAAAATTTCATAATTATTATTAACCCTTTGTGCTCGACTCCGATTCATCACTTAAAATTGTTACATAACGTTTCAAAATAATTGTAACGTTAAGAAACTTGTTCGTATTTTAGAAACTGTTAAAAATGCAATTGCCGCACGAGTCGTAAAAGTGAATTCCATATATATGAAATGCACTTAAGTCGTACAAAGTGAAGGTACTGTGAGTCAGAAAAATTATGTTGAATTTAGAGTTAAAATGGCTTCGAGTGCAAAGGATTAACAAAGATCATTCTATTTATATTGTTAATAGAGAATATTGTAATTGCACTATTAAAAAAGTATATCATAATCACGCTATTAACAAATCGATTGCCGCGTCACCCATATGCGGGTGACAGAATTAACTAAAATTTAATTTTTGAAACTTAATTTTTGCGCTAATCCATTATAATTTTTTAATTTTGTTGAGATTCGCAATAGATAAGAATGTCGAAAAAGTAATCGATTGTCGTACAGATTTGCTTTGTAATGTTCATATAATTTAATAGAATATACTCGTCGTGACACAAAATGCAGTAATTTCTCCCTAATTCGCGCTCAGATTTCGCAAGAAAATGGAACATTTGGGTAGAGGAGATACGATTATTCGAGCCTTGCGTCTCGTTTTCATAGTTGTGTCAACTATAAAACTAATCATAACTATACAATAATTAGAATACTATACATAACTATAACATAACTATAAAACTATAAAACTCGAGCCGTAAGGCTCGAATAATCGTATCTCTTCTCCCAAAATTCTCCATTTTTGTGCGCAATCTGAACGCGAATTATGGAGAAATTACTTTATTGCCGCTTCTCCATGACGAGTATACTCGTCAAACACAGCTAACTACTTAAGGGAACTCCCTATTTTAAAAGGAGAATTCGCGCTCAGATTTCGCAAGAAAATGGACAATTTGGGAAGAGAAGATACGATTATTCGAGCCTTGCGTCTCGTTTTCATAGTTGTTGTCAACTATAATACTAATCAAAACTATACAATAACTAGACTACTATACATAACTATAACACAACTATAAAAACGAGTCGCAAGGCTCGATCAATCGTATCTCTTCTCCCAAAATTCTCCATTTTTGTGCGCAATCTGAACGCGAATTAGGAAGAAATCACTATACTGCCGCTTCTCCGTGACGAGTATACTCGTCATGACACAAAATATACAGTAATTTCTCCCTAATTCGCGCTTAGATTGCGCACGAAAATGGACAATTTGGGAAGAGAAGATACGATTATTCGAGCTTTGCAGTTCGTTTTCATAATTGTTGTCAACTATACAACTAATCATAACTATACAATAACTAGACTACTATACATAACTATAACACAACTATAAAAACGAGCCGCAAGGCTTCAATAATCGTATCTCTTCTCCCAAAATTCTCCATTTTTGTGCGCAATATGAACGCGAATCAGGAAGAAATCACTATACTGCCGCTTCTCCGTGACGAGTATACTCGTCATGACACAAAATATACAGTAATTTCTCCCTAATTCGCGCTTAGATTGCGCACGAAAATGGACAATTTGGGAAGAGAAGATACGATTATTCGAGCCTTGCAGTTCGTTTTCATAGTTGTTGTCAACTATACAACTAATCATAACTATACAATAACTAGACTACTATACATAACTATAACACAACTATAAAAACGAGCCGCAAGGCTTCAATAATCGTATCTCTTCTCCCAAAATTCTCCATTTTTGTGCGCAATCTGAACGCGAATCAGGAAGAAATCACTACACTGCCGCTTCTCCGTGACGAGTATACTCGTCATGACACAAAATATACAGTAATTTCTCCCTAATTCGCGCTTAGATTGCGCACGAAAATGGACAATTTGGGAAGAGAAGATACGATTATTCGAGCCTTGCAGTTCGTTTTCATAGTTGTTGTCAACTATACAACTAATCATAACTATACAATAACTAGACTACTATACATAACTATAACACAACTATAAAAACGAGCCGCAAGGCTTCAATAATCGTATCTCTTCTCCCAAAATTCTCCATTTTTGTGCGCAATCTGAACGCGAATCAGGAAGAAATCACTATACTGCCGCTTCTCCGTGACGAGTATACTCGTCAAACACATCCAACAGGTTAAAAGCACCGTAACTAAGTAACTGTTTTACTGTCCAAACACTCGCGTGCCAGTTCAAATAGCCGCGATCATTTTCTTCTGGCGTTGCAATGCTGTATCACAATACAAATCGAGAACAACCACGGCGAACAAGAAACGAGTTGATCAAATCGAGCTGTTGACAGCGACGGCCCTCGGTACGGGTTACCAAGAAGCCGAACGCATTGTTCCGGGAGAACGAACGGAAAGAATGGAGGAGCAGCAGATGTAGGTGGAGACGACCACCTCCGAGTTGATTCGTGGCCGGTGTCGTTTCGAAAGTTCGCTGTTTATCTTCGGAGGCACCCCGGGAACTTTTTCCACGGCTCTCTCGGTGGCGATGTTTCCCGTCGTGCCTCTGTCCGCGTTCTCGCGCAGCCGCCTCTAGAAGGCGAGAAGCGGCCGATCGTTCGTAAAAAGAAAGGAACACGGCCGAGTGTCGCGTGAATTTCGTCGCCGGGAAGAAATCCCGGTCGTTGGCGACACACGCGGAACGACGGGTTCGATGTCGGAAATTCGAAAAAAGTTCGATTTGAAAAATCGAATCGAAAAAGAGGGAGATAGCACGCGGACGTCTCGCGGCAATCGCGAGCCGGGAGCCAGGTAACCCGGATTTCGCGGTTAATTCTTCGCGAAGAAGAGGACTCCGTGGAGATTTACTTTTGCTAGAAAGAAAAAGAGAAAGAAAGAAAGAGCGTGAGCTCTGTAGCACGTAATCGCAGCTTCGGCGAGGACCTGAGTAACTGTTGGAGTCTTTCTGATTCTAGGGTGCTTACCATCAGCTCGGATCTGACCACCGTTCTTCAGGTGTTGAACGAGGTCGTACCTAATCTCGAGGAGGTGAGTGTTTCTACCAGAAGAGGATCGTACGGGAAAAGAAATGACTCAATCGTGAGACTTTTCACATGGCCCCTTGCTTCGCTAGGCTCTTTTAAAAAGTTCATTCTTCGCGTTGTCGCTTCGACACGACCGCTCTTGCTGTTACGTTTCCTCGGCTGTGAGATTGTCGAGAACAGTAATGTCTTTCTTATTGCCGCTTAGATTGAGCACAAAAATGGACAATTTGGGAAGAGGGGACACGATTAATTTGAGTCTTGCGCCTCGTTTTATGGTTTCGAATTATCAACAACTATATAAAAACGAGCTGCAAGGTTCGAATAATCGTATCTGCTGTTCTTAAATTGTCCAATTTCTTGCGTCAATTAGAGAGACATTACTGTACCGCTAGAAGCGCGGCGATTATGTTTCAGAGTCTGTTCTTTTCCGAACTAGAAAAGTGAAAGGTCCATGATTTGTGTACTTCCCTCGTTGTCTTCGGGTTGAAAAAGTGCCTAAATAATAAGTTAAAACCTTGGCGAAACGGAAGGATACCTTCTCACCTCCAGTGAAAAGTATGAGACCAGGTCTTCCTTTTAGCGTCGCTTAAAAGTTCGATTAAAGTAATTTACCGAACCGAGATGATAAGGATTTGTATAATGACTTGCGCTACGATTTTTATAAAATTCTCTCGAAATTATGTAATCTATTGTCGTCGATCGTTGGTCTCATACTTTGGATCTTCGTAAGAGGGGTGCTTTATTTGTCTGACCACAATTTGAACGAAATTTTGTGAGATTAATTAACGCGGGTGTAGATATTTAAGACTAAAATTGTACATTTAATGATTTTTGCCGTATTCGTTTTTGTTGTTGTACTTTGTTAAGTCTCTTTTGTTATGTTTGTCCGGTCCTGTGGAGTTAATTTTCTAAAATTCTGTAAAAATTTTCAATTTTGCCTGAGAAAGAGATTTTCATAAAAACAGCTTTATATTTGCAATGGTTTTACGATGCAACAACAGTTCAATCTGCGCGCGGAACGCTCGTTCAGCACGTCGTGTTATGAAATTACCTCCGAGAAGTATTCAAGTAGCGTTTCCACACAAATTGAAAGGTACATCGTGCTTGTACATTATGAAACTGTAGAATTGTTAAACAAAAGCAAATAGACTCGGTGATTGGAAAACGTCATCTCGCTTAACCAATGCAGCTTCGATATTGCTGCACCAGCGTTCCACTAGCATTTGCAACGAATCTTTCGAACTGACAAGTTCGGTAAGTTCTCCTTAATTTTCCTTCACTTTGTTAACAAAAATGGACAATAGGGGAGAGCCGCGCGGCTCATTTTTATAGTTGTCGAGTGTCAACAAGTATAAAAACGAGGCCTAGGCTCGAATAATCGTAATCTTTTCTTCCCAAATTGCCAATTTTTGTGCGCAATCTGAGCACGAATTAAGGAGAAATTACTGTAATAGATGATTTTTAATTGCAAGTAGAAGCTGTTTATATTATGTATAGTAAATTCTCCCTAATAGGCACGCAGCTTGCACACAAAAATGGACGATTTAGGAAGGGGAGATATGATTATTTGAATATTGCGGCTTTCTTATAAATTCACTTTCATAGTTGCTGTTAATAATAATAATAATATAATAATATTAATATAATAATAACAATAATATAAATAATGATAGTAATAATATAAAGCCGTTCTTATAGTTGTTGACAATCGGTAACCATAAAAACGAGCCGCGAGATTCGGATAATCGAATCTCCTTTTCCGAAATTGTCCATTTTTGTACGCAATCTGAGCGCGAATTAGGGAGAAATTACTGTAGTAGATGATTTTTAATTGCAAATAGAAGTTGTTTATATTATGTATAGTAAACTCTCCCTAATTAGCACGCAGCTTGCACACAAAAATGGACAATTTGGAAAGGGGAAATATGATTATTCGAGCATTGCGACTTTTTTTATAAATTCACTTTCATAGTTGCTGTTAATAATAATAATAATAATAATAATAATAATAATAATAATACAATAATATTAATATTCTGATAATAACAATAGCATAAATAATAATAATAACATAAAGCCGTTGTTATAGTTGTCGAGAATCGGTAACCATAAAAACGAGCCGCGAGGCAAATCGCATCTCCTCCCCCCAAATCGTCCACTGTCGATTCCAAGCTGTAGAAAAATTCGGGAGAATTTACCGTGCCTCCGCCTAATTGCACATTTGGCATCGGAAGAACCCTCGGCCTCGCAAAAAGTCGGTAACAATCGAAGACAAACGAGTCCCTTATCGGTTGCGCACGATTGACAATGCAATTTGCGAAGCGACCGCCGAGTATCTCGGCAGTGGACGTACCGATCAAGGAGACTCATTAGCCCCCTCCCACCCCGAAAGCACCGAGTGTTTCATAAAGCGTGGTCGTCGGTATCGTTCCCATTAATCACGGCGGGCAGAGAGCAGCTCTTGTTCCCGATGGCGGCTTCGTCTTTGCGAAGCACTCGGATGTTCGAATTTCCTGAGACACGAGTGGAACGCTGCAACCCAGAATAGCGGCGACGGAGACGGGGAACGTCGGATGGTTCGCTAACGGTTCGAAAATAATTTTCAGAACGGATCTCGCCATGGCAGCGATGAGATCGACGTGCGTATGCTGGTGCATCAGAGCCAGGCTGGATGCATCATCGGCAAAGGCGGGCTAAAGATCAAGGAGCTGCGCGAGGTGAGTCATGCTCGCATAATTCTCGCGGCCGTGTCACGTTCGACGCCGCGCGCCAAGGCCTCGGATAGTCGCGGGGATATTCATTCGTTCGCGCGAGCCGATTCGCCGTTCTTTTTCATTTCGGGGACGGTGTCGCGTAAAACGGTGATCAAGAATATAAAAAAAAAGGTAGTTGAGCCGTAGCCCAACTTACTACTTGCTTTTATTTCAAATAATTACACACAGATTACAATGGCACTTGGTAAGGTATCCGGCGGGTTCGGTAGTTAAAATCAAGACTGTTCTTTGGGCGAAGTACAGCGGCTTATATACACGTATTTATCTTATCATAGCGGATGTTATGGTTTATAAATGAAATGAGAACTACTGGATCGTGTTATGGGAATTGGGCCCGTTACAACGGCGTCGCATGCGCCGCGCGCGCCTGCAGCCTCGTCGCCGATTCCCCGGCGTCGTTGCAGCAGGCTCGCGGAACTGGGTTAAACTCGGAATCGTCCGATATTTAAATCGTCGCCCGCGGTGATCTCGCCGGCGGCGGCTGATGCATCTGGAATTCAGCGGCCGCGAGGGCAACGAGGAAATTATGCCGACGCATCGCGATCTCGCGTCGCGCGAGGACATCGCGATTCTCCGGACAACGTGGCACGATCGTGATTCAGCCGGGGCCCGGAATCGGATTAACCGATGCCAATTAAGAAATTAATTAGATGGCCGCCGATGGGCGGCGGAAAAACCGCGCGACAGCCTGTTACGGACCGATCGCTCCTCCGTCGGGCGGGATAAATCGTTGTCCGTTTTAGGGAATCGCGAATTTCGGCCGACTTCTTCTCTCTCGACCGAATGGTATTGTTTTCGGAACGATTCTGAGAAAACGTTTTATCGTCCGACGCAGACGGTGCTTAAACATTGACTTTTCTCTGTGCGGACGTGCTAATCGACGGAAGTTTTTGACTCGCAGCTGTTGAACAAAGTCGGGCATTATTCGATAAAATTTTATCAGAACAACGTCGCAAATAAATTTTTGGAATGAGATTTTATTCGGATAATAGTTTTACGAATATATTTTATAATATAATATATAATATAATTTATTATATTATATATTATATAAACAGACGCTTTAAGTTTGTTGTTATATATTATATAATATAAAATATATTAGGATTATTTGATATATATTATTATTATTGATATATATACGTTAATAATATATAATATATAGAGTGGGCCACGCAACTTGTACACCTCTTATTTTTTCTAAAAATTTTCTTTACGTAATATCAAGTTGTGGAGACAATTTTCAAGAAATAAAGTGAAATTACTCGTTAACTATTAGATTTAGGGCTAATAAAGGTCAATACTTTTTTACGGAGAATTTGATATTCTTCCGTATTTTCATGCAAAAAATACAGTAATCTATTTTAAAAAACAAAGTTGACCTTCAAATCTCCGAAACGCCTCCACCTATAAAAAAGATAAATACACTATATAATACGCCCCTTGAAACCATGCATCTTTTATATAAAAAATTTTTTCGTGCGACGCATATTTTGGGACTTATATACCATAAGAGGTGCAAATGTCGCGTGGTCGTCCACCCTGTACAATATAATTCATAATATGAGCCGTTTATTTTGAAAGTGGCATAAGTCACTTTGTTCTTATGTCGATGTATTTAAGGGTTTGCGTTTTAACACGTTTCAAAATATGGATGCTAACTTTCGAGAAGATCTACTTGTATTTGTTATCTCAGGATACTGATATTTTTCTCAGTATAAATAGTTTCGTATAAACATGAAAAAACCACCGCTTTTCATCGCGGTAAAGTGACTTATGCCACTTTCAAAATAAACGGCTCATATAATGCAATATATATTCTTTACGAATTTTTTAATTCGTTATTCTGATAAAATACATGCTCGACTCTGCTCGCCGATCGTCATTGTAGGAAACAACAATCTAATAATCAGGGGATCTAATTGAAATCCAAGGTGTAGTGGAAAGAAGCCGACAAATCGCTGGATTTATATAGCGGTTGGATTTCCGATGTTGTACCGATTCGCTGGAATTAAGAAATGGGGTTAAACTATGAACTGCCGACGCGTTCGATGAGCGACCGACATGCAAAGCAGCCGAAAATGACAATTAAGTCGCTTTTAATTAGCGATCTCTCTCTCTCTCTCGTCGGGTTGGGGTTGGATGGAGATTTTTTTACGTAACAACGGGGGGCCCGCCGTCGGGTCACGGCGGAATATGCAACGTGGCCAAGTGGCTCGTTACGTTTTCGCGTTCAGAAGAGGCGAAACCGAACGATGCAGACCTTTTGTCCCGGACCGAGTCGCAGCGAGCCTCTTGAGTCTCGGTGACTTTCCAAGCTTTGTCGGCTACCCCGCCCACTCTCTCTCTCTCTCTCTCTCTCTCTCTCTCTCTCTCTCACTCTCTCTCTCTCCCCCCCCCCCTCCCCCCCTTCCCCCCCCCCTCCCCCNTCTCTCTCTCTCTCTCTCTCTCTCTCTCTCTCTCTCTCTCTCTCTCTCTCTCTCTCTCTCTCTCTCTCTCTCTCTCTCTCGTCGCTTCATCCCTCGATCTTGACACACTCGCGGGTCCCCAGGTTCGCGGCGCACCTTCACCGACGCCGGAAACGAACGGTCGCATTGAAATCAACGGAACGGATCTCGACGACGCGACGTTGTTTTCATCGTGAATAAGACAACGAAGATCGTCGGGATCGACGTTCGACGATACTGATTGCGAAGAGGCCTGTTGTTAGACCATTGTTGTTAGATCTCCGGATCATTAACCCTTTGTCGTACTTCGACGAGACCGACTCGTGAGGAAAATTTTCGTTATTCAGAAGTTCTAAAATTGAAGTGCATGCACTTTTTGATTTGTTCATATTTGGACTGATTTAATTATAATTTTCTTTCGTTATTAAATAATACATTGTTTTAAGACGTCGTTCGAATAAAAGCTTAAAAATTATTGCGATACGAATATATGCATAGAAGTTAAATTTTCTAATTGCTACTTTATTTTCCGCTTGGAATCTAATGATATTCTCGTTCTCACATTTTTATCAAATTAATAATTGGAGAATCATGACAATTTCTGGTATTAACTTATTAAGTATGGATGTTATTCTGTCGTTTAAAATTTGAATGGAATTCTAGTATTAAGATTTAAGCGTTCGAGTAAATTTAGGCACGCGATAAACATCGATTTTATTTATCTTCGAGGAAATTATTGCAGTCGAAAAATTTCTGATAGCAGTAACTGCGAAGAAAATGGTACGCCATGGGGTTAATACGGAATGGAAATTTTTTGTACGAGTTGCAACGAACAAGAATCAGATGGAGAGATCTTTAAAGAGTTGTTAAAAGTATATAATCTTCAATTTTTCTAATCTCGTCGCTGTTTCAAATTTCGCTGACCTAGCTTTGCCGCAAACGCGTAAAATGCGCAGTCTAGTTATTATACTTATCGTTCATCTGGTAGCTGAACATGCACTTTTTGTTCATAATTTTAGCTGCTTGCGTTTTTTATAATGCCTTGGGTAAGGTAAGAAGTGGTTACGCTGATTAGAAAATATATAATATATAATAATATAATATATATAATAATAATAATATAATATATATAATAATAATAATATAATATATATAATAATAATAATATAATAGATATAATAATAATAATATAATATATATATAATAATAATAATATAATATATATAATAATATATAATATATTAAAATTCCATCGAATATATTCGTATGAAAAATATAAAATATAAAATGAAAATGTCAAGTGACATATAGGTCAACAAAAATTTATACCATTAAAATGAAATTTTGCAGAATTCAAATGCATGAATAGTACACTTACATTCGCATCGGCAATTAGCTAAATTAAACAAATTACCGCTGCATAAATAACAATTTTACATTTTCGTTGATTTTGAGGAGGGTAGCTGAGTTAAATAGTTAACGAATATGAAACAAAAATATACCGCATTGTGAACCAGTTCGATTAACTCTATCTCCGAATTGCCTTCGAATCGTGGCAAAGAATTAGAAATAAAAAAGCTAAGTAATCGTTTTTACTACTATGGCCTACACTACTATGGCCACTCACTCACATGTATGTGTGATGCTTTAATAATAGGTGATTGCTTTAAACACAAAGGAAAAATATTAGATTTGTTGTATTAAATGCGTTATTATTGTTGGCGTTGTCTTTTTTTTCGTTTTATGCGTACGTTCGCACACGTTGAATTATTTCATGAATTTACGTAAAGATTTTTTAAAATTAATTCTTCAAAAATATTGCCGGCCCCTGACGACATTTAACTGCGTAAACGTGCGTCCATTAAGGTGTTAACCCTTCTCACTCGAGCGGCGACTCCGAGGCGCCATTAAAAATTCTTGCGTCGCATCTAAAAATAATTTTATTAATTAAATTTGTTTATGTTTAAAAAGCTGTCGAAAGCGTAACTGTTGCACAGCTCACAATATTCAATATTATTTTGTATGCATGAGATGGACTAGATCATATAAAATGGAAAAACCGTGGGTCGGAAAAACTATTTTAAATTTTGCGTTAATTCACATTTCGAGTGCAAAGGGTTAACATACACCGGCACGCTGGCCGTTGCCTTTTCCTGCCGACTGCGCCGAGTTTCCATAAAAACGAGCCGCGAAGTCTCGACGAATCGCGACTTAGTATTCTCAGATGATCGGCCGGTTTCAATTCCGACCTCCGAACATTTCCGGGAGAAATTACTGTATACCGATATCGAACCCGCCGCGACCACGGCCTTACGCTGTTGCGGGAGGAGTGGGGGGGATAGGTAACGCCACGCGTCGAGAGGGTCCGCCGCATTCTGTATCGGGGCGAAAAGCCGGAGAAAACGGTGCGCCGGCGATAATGAAAGCGGCCGCTGCAAACGATGCCGGCGCGCCGGCGACCCCTCCCCTCCTCGCCCCTCCCCTCACCGCACCACC